AGACCTGAGCCACGTCCAGGCGGTTCTGAGACCTGATCCAGGTCCAGTATTTTTCCCAGTTGCTTGTGGAGTTTCAATAAAAAAGGTTTCATCTTTGCAGGTTTAATCAGTTTGAGCCGTTTTCCTCAGACGTTCTCATGTTTTGTGTCGGTAAATCAACAGCAGGTTTGAAACAATCATTTTATGTCTCAAACTAAACGCACGTGTTTCCTTCCTGGTCTTCTCTTGTCGGAGGACATTTTGTCCGGTTTGAACCGGAAACAGTTTTTACAGATCAGACCCTTTCCGGGTGTTTTGAGTCTGTTTACATTTAAAAAGTTTTTTTCTGCAGATTTTAACAAGTTCCTCAGAAAGCCGTCAGTAAGTTACTGACAGATGTTTCTCAGCAAACCATCTTCAGCAGTGAAACCTTTGCTGACAGCATCTTTCATTCTGGGTTTCGTTGCAGTTCTGCAGAAACCTGCAGCTCCTGAACTTCATTTCTTCTTCGTGTCTTCTAAAGACCACGATGACGTTTCCATCCTCTGTGGCCGCTCTGACGGTCGCATCACTGAAACCGTTTTCTGAGTTCTCTCCATGTTCAGTTCTTAGGCCTGCAGCCAGCTTCTGTTGCCATGGCAACAGTGGGTTAAAGGACAGCAGTTTTTCTGTTCTGGGGGGAGGGGGGGGGGTTACTGCAGGTGCACCCAAGGTAAACCCAAGTCTATGCACAGACTGTTTGAGGTCAGATGTTTGAAACTTGTTGCAGACTGTTCTCATGTGAAGTTATTCTTCCTGTTTTTAGTAGTAGTTTTTAAATTCAGGGGTATCCCGGCGTGCTTGATTTAGGGTTCACAGATTTCTAATGTGGATTAAATTAGAGGCTAAAAACACTTTTAGCTGCAAACGTTACCCCGTTGATCCAGTTGTCTTAAGGGAGCTTTTAGGGGAAATGTTTTATTTAGCTAAAGATTAGATGGATTAATGAGAATGAAATTCTATGTTTGCATTCTTTCTATGCTATTTTCATAAAGGGTTCACACTAACGACCAATCAGAAAGAATCTCAAGTGCTTTTTACTCCAGTGTAACTTATTGTTTTGATTTTTACCACCTGTGTTTTTAGTAAAGATTTATCCAAGCACTGTTTAATAAAGGGTTAAAACGTCCTGCAGCCTCTGAACGCTTCATGTGGACTATAGAAAGTACACCTGGACCATAGAACGTACACCTGGACTATAGAACGTACACCTGGACCATAGAACGTACACCTGGACCATAGAACGTACACCTGGACTATAGAAAGTACACC